CGATAGTCATCTCGATATGGGTGTATGGATATTAAACAGAGTATACGGGTTTATTTATGATAGTCATCTCGTTATGGGTGTAAGGATATTAAACAGTGTATACGGGTTTGTTTATGATAGTCATCTCGATAAGGGTGTATGGATATTAAACAGTGTATACGGGTTCGTTTATTATAGTCATCTCGATATGGGTGTATGGATATTAAACGGTGTATACGGGTTTATATATGATAGTCATCTCGATATGGGTGTATGCTTCTTAGGTCTCTTGATGAATATATATCTTGCACTACTTCCTCATAATCGAATAGCTTAATTCCAGGAGATGTTCTTAGGTCTCTTGATGAATTTATATCTTGTACTACATCCTCATTAACGTATAGTTTAATACCACGAGATGTTCTTAGGTGTCTTGATGAATATATATCTTGTACTACATCCTCATAAACGAATAGTTTAAATACCAGGAGATATTCGTAGGTCTCTTAATATATATATATATATATATATATATATATATATTGTTCCTACGCAGTCCTGAGTTTTCTCATATATGAATATTGAGGATTGAAGGAGTGAGCTCGGGAATCCAGAGCCCCTAAGTCCCAGTAGAGTGTAAGCCTGTAAGGTTGTATCATTAGTAGTATTGAGTGTCAGTGTATATTAGTAAATCACTATTAATATTGTTGACAGTATATAGGACAGAACACTGCCAACGAAAGCGTATGGTTTGAAACAAAGGGATATCTTGCGTATATATATATATACATATATATATATTGCAATACTCCAGTTTTCACCGAAATGTTCGCTTGCACACGTTGGTCGCATCGATGTGTTCGTTGGTTGGTGCCTCAGCTGACGCTTGTTTCGGTAGGCCAACCAAGATGCGGGTTCTTTATTTATTTTAGAGATATATAACTAACCCCCTTCATATCACAGCCGTGCTTTTAACCATCCGAAAATTCCCCAGGACTCAACCATACCCACGTGGCGTATATGAACATTCACACCAGTCAGGCAGATGATACACTCAGCAACTATCATACGACACAGAGTTGAACGGATTTGATCCGTGCTCGTATATTAAAGTGGTACCTCAAAAGTTTAGGGTTTGGGTTTAACGACAGCAAACAACCCCTGTGGTTCCCCGTATGTGGTTGTATTGTAGTCTCAGTACGCACCGTAACTGCTGCATACTTTGCAAAATCAAACTCGCATGGCTATGCTTGTTTGTGTGGTTTAGTTCAGCTGGGTGTGTTACGATGTATATCATTGTCTTGTTACTTGTACAGGCTCAAAGGGGTTGTTTGTGCGTGTAGGTACTCTGTGTTTGTGCAACCTCCATTGTTTCTGGGGTTTGCGGTCGCTAGGCTCATGGCTGGTCACAACTAACTACACACTTTCTGTAAGAGTTGCATATGTGGTGATAATTGCAGTCTCCCCTCGATATAAGGTATAGGATTTACTAAATCGGTGCCTATGCCTGACAAAGATAGGAGACCATGCCAATACGGGCAGAATAGCTCGCGTCCAAACCGACGCACACGCCGATGTACGTGCATGTCTATCATTCGCATAGGGCCCATGTACCACAAATCCGCTATACTAAATATCATCATATTGTTTGTCGAAGGCTCTCTCGTCAGCTCTAGTATGTTTGCAGCTGATTTTGCATCTATGCCTGTGGCTGTGACTGTAACTTTATGTGTTGACATATACTTTTTCGTTGCTGTTCCACCAAATCTGCTTCTTTTCTCGTCTTCATTTTCGTATCCCGCTGCGCACGCGTTGATCTCATAGCCTGTGTTGGCCGTAAGTGAGCTCGTTCTGGTTTCTGTTTTTCCTTTTTGACCGGTCTGTATGTATTCAACGAATGCCAGTATGGGTAAGTTATTGTAAAGGCTCAGTATACCATGATATACATGTTGGCATACACACAAACACAAACACACGAACCCAACACGGACAAGCATTGATATATAATTGTGTATACAAATACATCCATAGATATATATGTGAATAAATATACAAGTATAGAAATGTGCGTATATATATATATATATAATATATTCATACACACACACACACACACATATATATATATATATATATGTATATACATATATCAATACATACATACATACATACATACATACATACATATATATATAGTATTCATATATCTACATATGCTTCTATATTATATATATATATATATATATTCTGAAGTATATCTGGAGTCAATGTACTATCATTGAGTCATGCATCACATGGGAGACTACATCTCCCTACCCAGCAGTTCGTTGCTCCCGCAGCTCTCTTTCTATATGCTCCTCTTCGCGTGCATGTGTCTTCGGATGACTAGACCTCGTCGTTCGCGTACTTGTGCGTGTGGAGGTGTGTCCCTCTGTGTGTGTGGGTGGTTGCGCCTGTGTTCGGGTACTTTTGGGGGCGTTCCGCTGCGAGTGAGTAGTCTTGTTTGTCTGTGTGTGTAACGGTATGCGTGATTCCTCGCGCCCGTCTCGTGTGCGAGGGGGCGCTCTTCCTGCGTTGCCATGGCGACCGCCGCCGCTTCTTGTGTCGGAATTAAACATTTTCTTTAACGCATAGTTCTGCGTTGTGTTGTTGAACGCCATCAGCTCAATGTTCGAGCGCATCTCCACTGCTGCATGATAGGTGCTGTGCAGATGATACCACAAGTCAACAGTTGAAGGTTAAACAGCTGTAGCTAAATGTGCGGTTAGTTACGGTATGGCATGCTAGCAATTACGTTAAAAACGTGCAACTCGTCGCAGTCCAAATCATCAAAACTGGTGATAAAAGATCATATTACTACAGTAGATGGGTGTGAGCGCCGCCCAAATTCGATTAAGATTTGCCAGCCTCACTAATACTTCAGACAGTTCACAAACCCAATGTTACGACATCAGCAAACCCCCCACGCACACCTATGATAGGACTTCATAAGCTTCTAATAGCAGTAGCACTAGCAATGAATCGATCCCAAGCAAACTTTCAAGATAAAGAGATGAAAGACCGTTTGGACTCAACTTTCGGGAACATTCCGCTTCTGTCTGGTATATATCTGTCAGGTTTGCTACCGCTTGTGTTGCCGCGTTCAAACGCTTAACGCTTTTGTGATTGCACCCTTAGCTTGGGTACTACAATTGGTGTAGCATAGGTTTTGGAACAGTCTATTGTGCTAGTACAATATATACCAACCAACGCAAATAACGCACACCTGTGTGGGCCGTACTCTCGCTGGGACATACATGCAAACAGATTGAAAATTAAAACGCAATAAGCGCAGCCACACACGGAAAGCAGCAAGTCACATACCCTTGGAGTATAAAACGTCGGCCCTGTGATAACACTTTCACACTGGTTATCCCTGAATTGGAAGGCAAACGAAAGGTACAGGTATTCGCGTTGAATGAGAAACGTTTAAACCGAGTTCCAGATGAACCACCAATCCGACCTCATACATATATGCTTCGGCGTCAAATGCAGTAACCATAAGCAACCGCTCCACACACCTGGGGTCCTTAAAGCTACCAGATTCCCTTCTATTGCGGCCTTGTTAGCCTCATGCGTAGGTAACGAGACTTCATATTCGCGAGATGGCCCATGTGGGCGGCCCGTGAGCAAGTGCTGCTGCACCATCCCTCGTGCCGCTAAGTCTGCAATATACTCCTCGGTAGCTACCAGGTGTGTGGTCGCATTCTGATCGTATGAGAGTGCAACGGACAGGCGTGGGTACGTAGTGTAGGTATGTATAGTGTAGGTAGGTATCAGTGACAACGGTCGGTGAGTGGAATGTACTTTATCCCATGGAATGAGATATCTTCACTGAGTACAAGCAACCTATTGTCGAGTGCACTTGCACCGTCGGAGGCGCGCTATATAAACTATGTGCAGTATCCCACATGCCACCAGTGGCGGATGAGGGAATGGGGTTTTTTTGTGATACTGTGGGTTTTTTTGTGAGGGTATGGGCCTTTTTTATACCTAGCATGTCTTTTAACCTATGGAGTCAGGTGCAGGGCCGAGTGGCCATTCCATTCACTAGTGAAGCAGCGTGTATGACTGCAGCACCATGTACTGCGCCTGCCACGCACCGGAAGTTGATAGGGCAATCTTGGGATCATAATACACAGAAGTATCAGACACAGAAGAATACACAGATGTATCAGACACAGCAGAATACACAGATGTAGCAGACACAGCAGAATACACAGATGTATCAGACTCAGCAGAATACACAGATGTAGCAGACACAGCAGAATACACAGATGTAGCAGACACAGCAGAATACACAGATGTAGCAGACACAGCAGAATACACAGATGTAGCAGACACAGCAGCATACACAGATGTAGCAGACACAGCAGAATACACAGATGTAGCAAACACAGCAGAATACACAGATATAGCAGACACAGCAGAATACACAGATGTAGCAGACACAAGAGAATACACAATAGCCTACGACTCGTCCTAGAAGTCAGGGCTGCGATATATCACCAGACACATCACATTGGGATACATAGTAGCCTGTAGTACGTCAGGCAGCCACAACAACCGATGGTACGTAATATATTCTACACTTGGTAATATATGTGTTACGTGTAGTGTGTAGTAAACAAGTACAACCGATGATACAGAACATATGTTTTCATGCCACCCTTAGTAACCTAACTGCTACGTGTAGTGTGTAATAAACAAGCACGTAGAAATACCCTACCTCGCAGTAGAAATGAAAGGCCGGCCCTGACAACAGAGACCACATGCCGAACTCTCCCAGGTCACAGTCACTGTAGCACAGATCAAACAGGGTTATGAACGTGGCTGTGGCATGTATATTGGTGGCGCGAGTCTTATCCGTATCCGTCTGGATACGACGACGTAGAGACGCCGCCCAAGTGGGATATAGCAGCTGGGCTCTGAAGGCTCTGACCTATGTGTGGGTGAAAGGGGGTGGTGTGATTAGTGGAATAGGTACGGAGATAGTACAAGTGGTGTGGAAATAGGGAAAATGAAGTGGGAACCGCTGTGCACGAACAGCGAGCGTGATATGGCACTGGAGAGAAAATAATATGGATATGAAAAAGTAGTACTATATATATATA